ACATTTAGTCAGGTAAAAAGAAGGTTCTTAATATGACAAACAAATAACTTCTTTTTTTTAGTTTAAACTTTGTCCCTTCGAATTTCAATGGGCAAATTCAAACTCAATCACTTTTTATCTTTTGCGATGATACTCAAAACACCTCTCTTCTGTACCAGAATTCAACCCATAATCCTAAATCCAACTTAAACAAGAAAATAGAGCCAAATACAAACAACTACACCATCCTAAACCCCGTAAGAAAAATAAATAATAAATATATATATGAAATAAACAAATCTGATCCCAATCATGTTCTCTCTTCTATAGCATAAAACTGTGTTTACAACCCAAAAAGTACTCAGATCAATAAAACACAAAACAAAAAGCACTTCAGCTGCAAAAAACTGAAATCACTGCTTAAAGTGAAGTATTCACATTTATTGGATTCCTAAAGCAATATGATTCTAAGAACCCCTAATATGATAGTTCCCAAATATATGCTGATAGGATAATTCATCCATTAACATGGAAAACCACTCCTTAAAGAAAAAGGACAGTTGTTAAATATTTCACTCACGCAAATGTTTTCCTCACCAGAAAACAAAAAACCATAACATAAAGGGTGGAAAAAGGACAAGACAAAGGCCATGGGTTTTTCTATTTTCTAGCACATTCTGCAACCATATAGGACCCCCTTGCTAGGATTGCACAAGGGTGTGGGTTTAAATATGTTAGAATTCTCCAGCAATATGTCATGTGTCATGGCCATAACATATAACATAGAAGAACTAGGATTCTCATAGAAGACTCGGGACTTCCTCAAAATGCTCGCCTATATGCCAAGTCTCACCGATTTAAAAGAAACATCATAAGAACAAAATCTGGCTGGTTGGTTTTGCCAATAAGACTAAAACCATCATGTCATTGGTTAGGTCTGATTCCAAGCCTACAAGTTCAAGAGAACAACAAACTAGACAACCCATTTACAATTATCCTGTCAATGTGGGGTCCCTACCTAGTTGAAAGGAATAAACTTGGAAGCAAAAGTGTGCACCACCAAACATTATGTATGAAAATTTCACCCCAATGAACATCTACAGGATCTTCTCTAGAGCCAAATATGTGCTAAAGTAGATCCAACCTACAGAAAAAACAAGTACATGCCTTGATCTTTTCAAAGTGCAGATTCAAACTTTACATTCAGCAGTGGCTTCCAAGTTGAAATTCATGTCGCATGATAATTTTCCCTATATTAACTATTCTGAAGCTTTGAGACAATTAACTTAAAGCACTAAACTCAAATTCAACAAGGTCGCCCTTTAAGCCAAGTTAATTTACTAATTCCATAATTCAGCTCAATGACTAAAGAATAAAAACAAGCCAAGACAAGTCGTGGCCAAAGAATGAAAAAATACTGTCCAGAAAATTTCTGGACATGCGCTTAAACAAGAAGTTTCACAATATATCAACTAATCAACTTTTTTTTTGGGGTAATTCAGTGGGGATGACGAGCCCCTACCTGTTTTTTTTAAATTGTTCGTAGTTTTTTAATGCATTAAGTGAGAATGGAAGCCTACACCTCAACAGGGGCACAAGTGGTGCTACCACCACGACCCCAACCCCATCTCACTAATCAACTATTTCCATGACAAAGTAGAGCAACTTCAGCATGAGACACCAAATTCTAGTAGTAAAATGGAGGCATATCCACACAACATCCCGTTGGGGACTGCCAGAAGTTGTGCTAGAACTCATACCTAATAAAATCAGAGTTGTCAAATGGAACTAGACAAAAGGCCATATTTCAAGTACATTTCAAGGACCGAAAATCAAGGAATCCATTCATCATAAACCATAGCAGGAATACAAAAATTGTACTCAAGAACTCGCAATCAAAACATGGTACTTTACCCTACCAGTAAATAAGAAATGAGACCTTGAAGCACAAAATTTAGCATGAGCACATCAAGAGGCAAAGAACAATAAAAGAACCACGAATCTACAGACTCAGCTCACTATAGAGAGGATTGGTTCATAGGAATGAGATCAACACCTAATATAAATCAAAATAAATAAATCTCAGCTCATGTATGCTCCTCTGGTTGTTAAGAAGCTGCAAAATTATCTCGAATCCTAATTAAACGAAAGTCTACCGTGTTTCCAAATGCATCAATCACAAATTGCTAATCCATGTCATTTACTTTCCGATCTTTTGGGCCCCTAAAGCATCCTCCACAATAATCTGTCAACATTTTCATCAAAAGAAAAAAACCATGTCATAGATTTCTTGTTCCAACATTCTTTAAAAGTGGGCAACTCAAATTAACTGATTATTCGAGCAACTTCTATTATTGACTCCCAATATACACATATACAAAAGACTTAAATGGAATCACATTGGCAGATGAGTTAACAGCGACTAACAATCCAAGAAAGGAAGGTGATGATTCCACCTATTTTAAACAAAAAGGAGTCCAAAAATTATTCGTATGGCGCTAAAAAATGGCCTTTACATCATCTCTTGCTCAAATAATTTCCCATGTTTCTGCAAGGTACTAAAAGGGAAAGATGCCTCTGTTCCATTCATTTGTGATGTATCGATATTTAAATTTTGTTTCCTATATTAAAATTTTGTTTCCTATATAGAATATCACAATTATTTGTTATTTCGCCCACGATCCTCACTATCAAAACAATTTCCTTGTGTTCCCATGGATTTACACATAAACACACTACATTCACGACAAATCAAACGGATCCCAAATAAATAGACCTATACTCCTTGTACCAAATATTCTCCTCATTAATTCTTCCAAGGTTTGCTCATAGATAAGGAGGTCCCATCAGAGGATCATAGATATATTTGCAAATCCAGTTTAAAACAACATATAGAGAATTGGATTCAAACTTTCGAAAAAAAAAAATGAACCAAATCCTTCACCAACCCAACTTCAGCTGAGCCACCCCACTTGAGCCACGGTGCGAGTAAATAGGCATTTAAATCAACATATGAAACAATGAAGAATGCATCCGGTACCACACAATCGACTCATGAAATCAAAAGTCAAGAAGTAAAAACAGTACAAACACCTATACCTTCAAGGAAATGTAGAGTATGCTCGTTTAACTAAATTGAGAATGTTTGTGTGTGTGTGGGTGAGAGAGAGAAGAGAGACTCTGTGTATGTGTGTGTGTGTGTGTGTGTGTGTGTGTGTGAGAGAGAGAGAGAGAGAGAGAGAGAGACGTAACCTTA